TCTCCCTTTGCAGAGGACACACGGCTCTTCCCTGATAGCCAGATAGGCTTCACTGGAAAACATATTGCTAATGTTCCAGGGATCCACTTACCAGGGACTAGGATCCTCTTGATTATGAGATTTATTCTGCCAGTGGCTGAGTTATGGATGAACCAGATATAGCACCCTCTATATGTTTTAGTGATTTGGGGCATAAAGAATACTTGTGCTGATTGCTGGAACTTCCCATCAATCAGCCAAGAGTGCTCTGCCAGTGGGTGAGAGTCTGTGAGACAGGAGAGCTTGAGGACTTCCTCTCTATGGTAATAGGTGTATGAAGAAGAAATGGTGGGGGCATCCAGGTCATCTGGAGCAAAGAGAATAAAGTCACAGCTGATGTTGTCAAAGGGAAGGGAAAATCCTGGTCTGCGGAAGGGCCACAGTGACCCTGTGAGCTAAGTCACAACATTAAAGTCCCAGCCAAATCCCTGCTGTGTTCACTGGTCTGCAGCCTGAGGCACTCACCTGTTTTTCCTGTCATAAGCTGTGGAACCTGATTCTCCCATGACAGGAGCAGCCTTTTCTCTCCCACTGTTGATCAAGTATAAGCCTACTCTTAGTAGTCATGGCCAGCTTTGATGTCCAGGGGTAAAAGTCTCCGTACTTGCACCTGAGAGGGACTGGGAGGCCTGGCCTCTGGCCATGTGTATTTGGGATGGCAGCCTGGCTCACAGAGGAACAGAAGATACTCACAGAGGAGATTCAGGGTGACTGGGTCACTGCGGCTGGAACTCACTGGGTTCTTCATTTCACATTCATAGGGTCCTGTAGTATCCTTTGTGACAACAAATAGAATGAGGATCCTGTTGTTTTTGGACAGCTGCAACGTGCGACTGTTACGGAGGCACTGTCCATTTATCCACCACGAGTAGCTGACGTCCTGAGTGTCAGGATCACAGGATAAGACCACAGTCTCCGCGGCCTCCCTGGGGTTTAAGTTGCTGCTGAAGATGGGGGGCTTGGGAGTCTCCACTGTGCAGATAACAGAGAGAAGATTGCCCTGTGTGGCACCTTTGATTCCCCCAAAGACATTTTTCAATCAGAGATAGCCTTTCCCACCTCTAAGCCTACCCCAGTTCTCAAAAGCCCATGGCAGGAGTGTGTGTTACAAGACAGATGCAAGGCAATCTGAGGGCTCAGAGATTGTGAGGCTGCCTGCTTTATGTGGGAGAAGCACAGACTTTCTCAAGTGTGAATTGAACAGCAGCATTGGGTCATGGAAAGATATGGGACCAGCAGTCACAGACCCTGGTGCCTCTCTGAGTCCCTCCCTGTCCAACTGCCTGCCTAGCCCACCTTGGGGTCCTCACCTGGAGCATGCAGTGCTGGAATCTTCTTAGTTTCAGTCTTACTTTGTCCCCCAAGGTGTGCTTTCTCTGCACCTTCCCTTTCCAAGGACATCCTACAGATAGATGATGGAACTTCACATTGTCCTTAAACCCTTTGGGTACTGGGAAGCCTGGCCTGTGATTGTGTACTTCAGCAGAAATAACACAGGGGAGACCAGAGTCAAGCCTGGAGGTCAGTTCAGTCATCAGGCAGTGGAGCCAGAAGTTGGGGCAGTATTCCCAGCTGTCTCATAGTGAACTGACTTGAGCCAGTGATCTCTAAAGATAGAGCAGAGTCCATGGGATGACCTACAAAAAGTGAAGGCGACAGGCAAGGGCTGATAGCTTTGGACCAAGACCACGTTCCCTGTCCTGTATCCATGATGTTCCCTTCCCCCTGTAGAGGGCAGGTGATTACCATGTGTATCTTTCTAGAAATACTTGTGGATGTTTGCAAATGCAGAACTGATTGGTGGAAAGGCCGAACTTGAAGTGATGATGGAAATCTGGCCCTCATGGACCACACGGGTTTGGTGGCTATTAGACCAATGTTTGGGAAGAAGTCTTGCAGATACTTTCTCTCATTAGACATTCTACTCTCTGATTCTGTGAGTTTGACTACTCTATGTACCTCACCTCAGTGGATTCCAGAATGAATCGGAGAGTTGAAAAATAGTTTCCAGGAGCTGGGGTCGGGGGAATAGGGCATTGTTCCGTGGGTGTGCAGTTTCAGTTATGCAGGATGAAGAGGTTCGGGAGATCTCCAGTACAGCTTCATGCCTATAGTTCATACAGATAAAGTGTTCCATATGCAGAATGCTTAAAACCAAGTGTTTTGGATTTCTAACTTTTTTTTATTTTGGAATATTTGCCGTAGATATACTGGTTTAGCATCCTACCTCTGAAAAATTTAAAATCCAAAATGCTCCAGTGAGCACTTCTTTCTAGCATCACATCAGTGGTCGGAAGTGTTGGATTTTGGAACATTTCAGATTTTGGATTTCTGGATTTGGGATGCTCAATTTGTAATACTGTAATTTTTGCATAAAATGTTCTCAAGAGTTTAGAACTCATGTTATGTTCTGACTCTAGTAACAAAACAAAAAAAGATTTGGGGGAAACATTAAAATGTTGTCATAAGTGGAAAGTTTTACTAATAGTCGAAACATCTAAGATGAATTGCTGATAGTAGTATTTGTCTTGATACCCAATTAAATTTTAGGTGTGCCATGAATTCCAGCAGGATCACATGCTCAAAGAAAGATGCCAAAGATGATTTGAAATTAGCAAGTCCTTTAGTAGAAAGAGTCCCGTTAAAAGGACAGAACTGGTCAGTGTGTCAATTACTTAAAGGGGGGAATGATGCTGAATTAAAAGAAGTGATGAGTGTTATGTTAGTAAATATAGAAAGAGCTTCCTGTTTCTAATTTCTGTGTAGAGTTAGGAAAAATGGGGAAGAGCCGAAAACAGGTATGTGAAATGCTTTCTTCATTTTCTCTCAACCTCAGGAAATACAACTCGAGTTTCAGTTTGTGTGAATTAGGAAGAGTCCAAGTGAGACGCCAATGGCTCATGTGCCTCCCACACGAAGAACTCCAACTTATGAAAACAGCATCATCATGAGGAAACAATCATATGTGCCACAGGCAGTAAAACCACCAGATAGCACCCACCTGGCCACCACCAACAGGTCCCCAAAACCACCAGTATTCCCATTACGTGTGTGTTACAGCCTTGGTAGTTGTCCCACAACTACAACATTTAAAAATTGCAATTGTCAGTACAAAATGTTACATATGAAGTTGAATATGTTGTTCCACTTTTTTTCCCATCACTCTTTTTGAACTTTCCTGTTCCAGTTTTGGAAGTTTCTATTGAAACATCCTCAAGTTAGGGATTCTTTCCTCAGCTGTGTGCATTCTACCAGAAAGCATCAAAAGCATTCTTCATTTCTCTAACAGAACTTTTCTTTTTTTTATTTCTGAGGTGGAGTCTCGCTCTGTTGCCCAGGCTGGAGTGCAGTGGCACGATCTTAGCTCACTGCAAGCTCCGCCTCCCGGGTTC